TGGTGAAACCCCATCTCTACTAAAAATACAAAAAAAAAAAAAAATAGATGGGCATGGTGGTGCATGACTGTATTCCCAGCTATTTGTGAGGCTGAGGCAGGAGAATCACTTGAACCCAGGGGGCAGAGGTTGCAGTGAGCAGAGGTCATGCCACTGACTCCAGCCTGGGCATCAGAGCGAGACTCCATCTCAAAAAATAAAACAAAAATAAAAGTAGGTCACCATCGGCAAAGGCTGGAAAAATGGGGCGGGAGCCCACCATGTCCCTACCACCCCTTCCCAGTCACCCCTTCACCCTGAGAGTAGCAAGACAAGACCCCTGACTAATGGGGGGAGACAAACAGACCCTTTGTCACCGTGGCCAGGGCTGAGTTTTTAAATTTCTGGATGATGATGATTGTTATTTACGAGTCAGAGGCTGATGGAGTTGGTTTGTTTGGGGAAGGCCTGATGACCTCCTTACTCTCACCAAAGCAACTTTTCCCTCAGGGGGCTCCCATCCTCTTACTCAAAGTGGCAGCTGAGGCAGGACAGGGGCTAACTGTGGACCAGGTGAGGGCACGGGCTGCTGGGAGTGGCTCCCCTTCCTCCGTGCACATATTGTATCTGTGTAACATTTTGTATATTCCAGGGCTAGGGCCGCCCCCCCCGTATCATAACTAGCGGACGTTGGAGCTGGCACATGGGGAGGAGGGTCTCATAAATTTTTGCGGCTGGAAAACTGGCATTTGAATCAGTACACTGAGTAAGGAAGATCTGCCTCACCCAGGGCGAATGGTACCATCCCATCAGCTGAGTGCCCAGATAGAGCAAAAGGGCAGAGAAAAGGTGAATTTTCTCTCCCTCTCTTCTGAGCTGGGAGACCCTTCTTTGATCATACACACACACACACACACACACACACACACACACACACACTCTCACACACACACACACATTATATATATATATATATATAAAATCCTCCTCTCGGCCACTCCCTTCAGCACCTTCTCAAATGTATATATTTGGGAGAGATGAGACCCCTGTACCAGGGTTGGTCTGTCTGACCAAGAGCATATGGCAGCAATGATGGTACATCACGTCCCAGGTTAGCTTGCAGCTTCTGCTTCTTTGTCTCCTAATCACTCACCCGGGGGAGCCACTGCCATGTTGTGAGGAGAGGCTGCACGTGAGAAAACAGCCACACGAGGGAGCTTGAGATCGGATGGTCCAGCCCCAGTCAAGCCTTCAGATAACCGTAGTCCCAGCAAGTGTGTAGACTGCAACCTTGTGAGCGCCCTTCAATTAGAGATGCTCGCCTAGGCTGTTCCAGATTCCTCACCAACAGAAATGATAAAATAATTTTTCTGAGACAGGGTTTTGTTCTGTCTTCCAGGCTAGAGTGCAGTGGTGCCATCGTGGCTCAATGCAGCCTCAATCTCCCCAGGCTCAAGACATCCTCTGACCTCAGCCTCCTTAGGTAGCTGGGACTACATGTACACACCACAAAGTGCAGCTGATTTTTAATAGAGATGAGTCCTTGCCATGTTGCCCAGGCTGGTCTTCAGGTCTTCTTCTGGGCTCAAGCAATTGTCCCACCTCAGCTTCCCAAAGTGCTGGGATTACAGGCATAGGTCACCACACTCAGCAAATGTTTCTTTGTTTGTTTGTGACAGCGTTTCGCTCTTGTTGCCCAGGCTGGAATGCAATGGCACAGTCTTGGCTCACCACAACCTCCGCCTCCCAGATTGAAGCGATTCTCCTGCCTCAGCCTCCTGAGTAGCTGGGATTATGGCATGCACCATCACACCCAGCTAATTTTGTATTTTTAGTAGAGACAGGGTTTCTCCATATTGGTCAGGCTGGTCTCCAACTCCTGACTTTAGGTGATGTGTCCACCTCAGCCTCCCAAAGTGCTGGGATTACAGGCATGAGCCGCCATGCCCGGCCAAATATTTGTTTTTGTTTTGTTTTTTGAGACAGACTCTCGCACTGTTTCCCAGGCTGGAGTGCAGTAGTGCCATCTCGGCTCACTGCAACCTCCGCCTCCTGGGTTCAAGCGATTCTCCTGCATCAGTCTCCTGAGTAGCTCAGATTATAGGTGCCAGCCACCACACCCAGCTAATTTTTGTATTTTTAGTAGAGTCAGGGTTTCACCATTTTGGTCAGACTGGTCTCAAACTCCTGACCTCATGATCCACCCAAAGCGCTAGGATTACAGGCATGAGCCACCTTGCCCGGCCAAATGTTTGGCTTTCTAATGCAATAAATTTTGGGGTAGTTTGTTACACAGCAATAGATAATGACAGACTCTCTCTTTAAAAAAAACTAGCACCTGCTGGAGTCTTTATTTTCGTGCTCGTTGAAGTCCTTTCACAGTTTCTCCTTGTTCCTCTAATCTTCCTCTCGGCCACACCCTTCAGCACCCAACCCCCAACAGGTCATGGTTCCCACTTACGTGGCCATTGGAGATACGTGGTTGGTGTCCTGCGCTGACCACTCTTGTCAGGAGACCAAGCTTCCTTTCCTCCCTCCCTACACACCTGATCATGGTCAACAAGGCGCTGAGCGAACAAGGTGAGGCAGAAGGAACAGAAGCTGGAGAGAGCAGCAGGGACTAGCCACCAGCGAGATTCTGTGACTCTCCATCTCCCCGCATCCCAGTCCCAGAGTGAAGAGTCATCTTCATGATCTCCCTGATGGCGAAATGCCAGAAAGACTTACCCAGGGGCCTGAACTCTGTTCCAGTCACAGGAGGCCTGGCAATCCCGAGGTTTCCTGAGTGTTCCTTGTTCCTGAGCTCCTCTGAGATTTCCACTTTCCTCATTTTCATCTAAATCTAACTACATCTAACTGCCTCTGCTAACCAGACATTTGTTCCTAGTGGACAGAGTTTCCCGAAATGCTGTGTGGTTATCTTGCAGATGACTACAGTTATATAGCCAAATAACTAAGATCCGCTGGTATACTGGAACAGGGCTATTCTGGAACAAATTACCCCAAAATGTATTGGTTTAAAAAAAAACAAACATTTGGCTGGGCGCGGTGGCTCACGCCTGTAATCCCAACACTTTGGGAGGCTGAGGCGGGCGGGTCACCTGAGGTCAGGGGTTCGAGACCAGCCTGACCAATATGGTGAAACCCTGTCTTAAAAAAAAAAAAAATTTGGTTTTTGCTCTCCCAGCTCTTCAGAAAAAAGGAAAAGACAAAATATTACTTGGGATTTTGATACCTTTTATGGTTTATCTCCCCTTTTGGACTGTGGGCTTCATGAAGGCAGTGGTTATATATGATTCCCAAGTAACCACAGTTCCCAGAACGATCTTAAGTATAGAACGTTCCCAATAAATATCCATTGGAAAATGCACCCTATGTGTGTTGAAGGAATGGTGGAATTGGCATCAAAGGGATCTTCGACATTAGCTCTATGGCTGGCAATTCTAAGCGTTTTATAGTCCATCCCAAATGTTCTTTTCTTTTTCTAAATTGCACTGAATCAACAGAGTAGACAGGCTCATTTTCTTCACTTTAAGGAAAGGCTTTATTATTTTTTAGCTAGGGGCCCACCCAAAGTGACCTCTGGCTCTCACAGGAGACCCAGGAGCTCCCAGTTTGAAGCCCATAGCACATTTCCCAGAATACTTGGCACCCTCGCCCGCCTCCTCTGGCAACCAACCAGACAGTCCTGGGAGTTCGATGCCAAGTGAAGGATTCGGAACATCTGTTTTCTACTCAGGGCTTCTGCTGGGCCGTTCTTATGTCCAGTTAAGAGTTGGCCTGGGACCTCGCCATGCAAACACCCTGCAGGCTCCGGTTGCCGAGATGGGGTGGAAGGCTGGGCAGAAGAGAGGCCGCAAAGGCCGGAGGGCTGAGCTGCTCCGCGCTGGGGAGGGGCCAGGTGCCAGAGGGCGGGAGACCTCGGGGTGGGCACCAGGTTGCTCCGCGGCGGGGCGGGGAAGGCCAGGGGATTCACAACTGCAGATGCCACTCTGGGGGAACAGCATTTGGATCCCTCCACTCCTAACAGGCAGTTCCCGGGAGCGGAGGCTCGGGAATTGGGTTTAGCACTTGTCAGCGCTTGGAACTGTGCATCCACGGCTGCGAGTCCTTTGAGGTCTTCTTGCTAGGGACTACGTTTCCCAGAAGGCTCGGCGGTACCTGACAGCTCTTTCAGCCTATGGACAGAGAAGAGTTCTAGTCATGGAAACTGAACAGCCAATAGCAAGAGGACAGGGGCGGTATGTTCCGGCTGCCGACTGTGGAAGCCGGAGTCCCACCTGTGTCCCCACAGCCCTGTCACGAATCCTGGTCGAGTTCTGGGAGGGACGGCCTCGGGACGGCGGGCCGGGTGCGGCTCGGCGGTAGAGGCTTCACTTCCTTCTCCATCCCTGGCTGGGTCCTGGGGCGGTGAGTGATCCCGGGAGGGAGACTGCGGCGGCCGCGGCGCGCCGCTGAGGGGCGTGGACGGGGCTCGCCCGCCACCCGGACGTTTTCTCGGCGGGGTTCCAGCCCTGTCCTTTGGGAGCCTCCGGGTCTTTCTGGGGTGCGGGAGAGGTAGCCGCGGTTTCTTTCCCGTCGTCGTGTTAAGTCACTCTCCATCGGCTTTCTGGCTTCTCGACGGTGGTCCGGGTTTCAGCTGACCTTTGTGACCCTCTAACCGCAGCACCCGGGTTCGGGCCTCAGCGCCGAGAAAAAGGGGGTCGGCCCCACGCGTGTAGTCACGTTCCTATTAATAAACCCGGGGAATGCCCTGCAGTTTCTCACAATGGCGCTTAGTCACAGCACCTCAGCGCTGGGGGCCTTTGGTGTCACCTGTGCTTGGGGAAGGGGGCGGGCTTGGAAACAGGGCTGCTATGACCGTGGCTCAGAAGTCTTCCCTCCTCTGTGGCGCTGCTCCCGCAAGTGACCTTGCGGCTGTGTTTGGTCATGAATATAGAAATAAACATTATACTCAAAACTATTTTGTTTTGTTTTTGAGATGGAGTCTTGCTCTGTCGCCCAGGCTGGAGTGCAGTGGCCCGATCTCGGCTCTCTGCAACCTCTGCCTCCCAGGGTCAAGGGATTCTCCTGCTCTCAGCCTCCTGAGTAGCTGGGACTACAGGCATGTGCCACCACACCCGGCTAATTTTTGTGTTTTTAATAGAGACCGGATTTCGGTTGATCTCAAACTCTTGACCTCATGATCCGCCTGCCTCGGCCTCCCAAAGTGCCGGGATTACAGGCGTAAGCCATTGCGCCCGGCCGTTACTCAAAACTCATTACAATTTCTACTTTTGAATTACATTATTGTTGTTAAAGTTTTAAACCAGAGAGATGGTTTTTAGATCCTTAAAAACTCAATACTTTATAAATGACCTGACCAATAATAATGTCTGTAAATACATAAATATTTCCCCCAAAAGTGTGTGTGTGTGTGGTGCTTCGTTTGTGGTAAATAGGTGCTTTGTTTGTGGTGGGACAAAAGATGTGAAAGAGTAAAACTTCGCCCCATTCTATTCCTTCCTCCTCTGAAATGCAATATTCTTTGTAGCAGGTGGTCATGCTGGCTGTTTTTTTGTTTTGTTTTGTTTTGTTTTATGGAGACAAGGGTTTCACTCTGTTACTAGGCTCACTGCAGCCTTGCTTGAACTCCTGGGCTCAAGTGATCCTCCCACCTCAGCCTCCTGAGTAGCTGGGACCACAATTGCATGCCACCACACCTGGCTGATTTTTAAAAGTTCTTTGTAAAGAAAAGGGTCTCATTATGTTGCTGAGGCTGGTGTATTAGAAACTTTTTAAAGGAAAAATACATTATCTTAATTTCTTTGTGACTCCTATGCCTAGCAACTTATTGATTGCTGAATAAATGACTGATCCATCCAGTAATCAACTCTGACAATCCTCCAAAAAATAATTTTTTTGTGATACTGCTGTCAGTTTATTAATATATGAATGGTTGGCTTCAGCTTCTAAGCGTTGTGTTTTGTGCTTATCCCCATTGACTTTCAATTATTTTTACAACCTATCCATGTCTATTTTTTTTAATTCCATATCTTTTTCAGTCTTATTTCTGACTCCATTAAAATCTTAAAATAGAACGGCATCCAACACAGTTTCCTTTGGAGTTCTGCATAATCTGTCCCTTGAGGTTGTCCCCAAATCTGCAAGCCAAGAAGTCAGCTATTCTCATAACTAATATGAGCATAGTTAAGTCCACGACTTCCTAGCTTGCTGAAGAAAATGTAGCTGGAGAGAATCAAAAGCTTTCCAGAAGTCAAATTATACCTGCCAATTCTCTCCTTTGTATACCTTGTTCATTGTGGACAATTGGTTCCTCGAAAAGTTAATGTATCTAAAAGACTGGGTTCTGTCTATGTGTTTGGGAGGCCTAGGTCTCTCTTAGCAATGGGAAAGTCGGCTAGGAGAAGACGTATGTAAAAACAGACAGAAAAGCAACCCTCTGTGGTTGACAGAATTTACCTCAGGACGATTCTGGTCAGGGGTGGGGTGTTGTTTATGTACACTGGTGACCATTTTTTGGCTTTCAGACAATGGTGAGAATAGGGAGCTACTGATGCATATTGAGCTCTCTTGCTTTAGGAACTGATGACCCTCAATGATGTGGCTGGGGACTTCTGGGAAGAGTGGGTTACCTGGACACTGCTTAGAGAATCCTCTTCAGGGATGCTACCCAGCACAGTTAGAAGAATGGGCCCTCAAAGGGTAAGAATGCTACTCTCCTTTATTTTACGTATTTATTGTGTTTTTTGAGATGGGATCTGGCTCTGTCATCCAGGCAGTGGCGAAATCTCAATTCATTGCAACCTATGCTTCCCGGTCTCAAGAGATTCTCCCACCTCAACCTCCTGAGTAGTGGGGATCACAGGCATGCGCCATCATGCCCACCTAATGTTTTATATTTTTAGTGGAGACAGAACTTTGCTATGTTGGCCAGGCTGGTCTCAAACTCCTAAGCTCAAGTAATCAACTTGCCTCAGCCTTCCAAAAGTGCTGGGATTACAGGTGCCACCACGCTTGGCCACTACTCTCCGTTAATTTGAGACGTAGATATTGTGAGAGGGCCCAGGTCTGAGTGGTCTCTGGTATGTTGGTGTCTTAGAGCTCCAGGCCTCTGTAAGATTAATTGTTGCTTCCTTGGCAGAAAAAGAATGACCTCTTTATGCATTTTATGGTTTGCAGACGTCTTAGCTATTTATTGTCTTTTTAAGATCTCATCTAAACTTTTTGATATATGTATTACTATCCTCCTTTTCCAGCCTGGGTTGGACTCTCACCTCTGCCACTTCTGAGGTCTTTGTGGAAAAGGAGGTAATTTTTTTCTTTCACTTAAAAACAAACAAACACCTCCAATTCTCTTTCTCAAATACCATGGCTACCCTTCCTCCTGCTTTACTTCTTTTGTATGTTTGTGTGTGTGTGTGTATGTGTGTGTGTAAGTCTTGCTCTGTTGCCCAGGCTGGAGTGTCATGGCATGATCTGAGCTCACTGCAACCTCCGCCTCCTGGGTTCAAGCAATTCCTGGATAATTTTTTGTATTTTTAGTAGAGATGGGGTTTTGCTATGTTGGCCAGGCTAGTCTTGAACTCCTGACCTCAAGTGATCCACCCACCTTGGCCTCCCAAAGTACTGAGATTACAGGCATAAGCGACTATGCCCGGCCCTAACATTTTGTGTTCTTAGTAGAATCGAGGTTTCACCATGTTGGCCAGGGTGGTCTCAAACTCTTGACTTCAGGTGATCCGCTGGCCTTGGCCTCCCCAAGTGCTGGGATTAGAGGCGTGAGCCACTGTGCCTGGCCTACTTCATTTATTTTACAAGTAATGTATACTCATTAAAGAAAAAGACAAGCAAAATGAAAACAAACGCCATCCCTAATCCTACCATTGAAGAGTTACTATCCTGCCAGCATTTTTCTTTCTTTTTTTTTTGAGGCAGAGTTACGCTCCTGTTACCTACCAGCATTTTTCTAAGCATTTATACAATTTTAAAACAAGCACATAAGAATAATATTAGGATTATACTGTACAGTCAGCTGTAAATTCTACTTTCTTCCATGTTGTATTGTGAGTATATTTTGAAAATAGTAAATTCTTTACATCACTTAAAATAACCACCTAGTATTTTGTTTTATGGAGTACAATATTATTTTGTTGATGAAGTCAAACATTAGATTGAACCATATATCTGACCATTTTTTACATAAATAGCAATTGCCTGTAGTCCCAGCTACTTGGGAGGCTGAGGCAGAAGGATCCCTTGGGCCCAGGAGTTTGTGGCTGGAGTGAGTTATATAATTATTGCTTTGTTGTGAGACATTTAGGTCATTTCTAAATTTTTACCATGGTTGTGATAAACATATTTTAGCTCATTTTTTAAAAAGTATTTTTAATTGAAATGTAATTTTATCATTTCCTTAGAATTCTCAGAATTATAATTGGTGGGTCAAAGAATAGATACATTTCTAAGGTATTTAATACTTTGCAAAATACCTTCCAAGACGATTGAATCAGTTGATTTATCCCCATTAGCATTATATGAAAGTATCTTTCACAGTGGGTATTATAATTTAAGAGTCTGGGGCTGGCTGTGGTGGCTCACGCCTGTAATCCCAGCACTTTGGGAGGCTGAAGCAGGAGGACCACTTGAGCTCTGGAGTTCCAAGACCAGCCTGGGCAACATAATGAGACCCTGTCTCTACAAAAAATTACATTAGCCAGGTGTAGGGGCTTGTGCCTGTGGTGCCTGCTGCTTGGGAGGCTGAAGTGAGAGGATCGCTTGAGCCAGGAGCTTGAGGATGCAATGAACTGTGATTGTACCAGTGCTCTCCAGCCTGGATGACAGAGCAAGAGCCTGTCTCACAAACAAACAAATATACACACAAAACACAGAAAAAGAGCCTGGGAAAAATGGCAAATAGCAATGATAGTTAATGTTTATTGAAGTCTTTTTTTTTTTATTTTGTTTTTGGAGACGGAGCCTCACTCTGTCGCCCAGACTGGAGTGCAGTGGCGCAATCTTGGCTCACTGCAACCTCCATCTCCCAGTTTCAAGCAATTCTCCTGCCTCAGCCTCCAGAGTAGCTGGGATTACAGGTGTGCACCACCACACCTGGCTAATTTTTGCATTTTTAGTAGAGACAGGGTTTCTCCATGTTGGCCAGTCTGTTCTTGATCTCCTGGCCTCAAGTGATCCACCTGCCTTGGCTTCCCAAACTGTTGGGATTACAGCTGTGAGCTACTGCACCTGGCCAATGGATCTTATTCTTATCCCTATTTTATTGATGAAGACATTGAAACACTGAGGTTAAGTAACTTTCTTGAGGCCACACAGCTTGTAAGAGACAGGATTATGACTCAAACCCAGGCAGTGTGACTCTTGAGTTTGCACTCATTACCTCTACACTACATTACCTCAGTATATCATTGCTCTAACTTGAATTTCTTTTATTATAGAGAGGTTAAACATTTTTCATATATTTACAGACTACTTAACAAGTGTTTGTATTTTTCTCATGGCTTTTTTGACTGATACCATTCTGGGAAAATTTTAAAGCCCAACTTTATAGTTAACGTCCTTCATTCTTTCTAAGGATGAGGTCGTGGCAGCTCTGTTTCTGATAAAATCCTCTCTATATTTAGCTTTAGACTTATACATTCAGAAATAGTTATTGTATTTACTTCAAAGTTTCTGTCACCTGAGTCTGTTTTGTTTTTTTTAAATAAAAGGAAAGGGGCTTTTTTTTTTCAGCTTTTGGGGAAATCACCCTGTTTTATCACTTTACCATGGCTGCACATTTAATGAGACCAAATACACATTAGAGTTCCCGGGGTGTTCTCCCCTACCTAGGCAGGGAGTAGGGCTTGGATTTTGGTCAGGCCTCCTGTGACTGGCTCAGACTCACATCCTGTGTTTACATTCCTGTGTAGAATTTCTAGACCTAGTGTAGTCTCCCAGCTGGAGCAGAAAGAAGAGGCATGGGTTCTACCACTCCAAAACTCTGAGGCGAGGAGGATCCTGAGGGAAAGCCACACAGGTGAGATAAGAGTGCTCCCAGTGGAAGGAAAGCTAGCATTTCAGCCTTGTTGAGATGAAGAATTTGGAATGCTGCCCTAGACTTTTCTTCTTACTAGCAGACATTTAAATTGGACTCAGTGGTCAGTAGTTGACTAAATAAAGTCTTCTTGTTTTTTTTTTTTTTTTTTTTGAGATGGAGTTTCGCTCTTATTACCCAGGCTGGAGTGCAATGGCGCGATCTCGGCTCACCGCAACCTCCGCCTCCTGGGTTCAGGCAATTCTCCTGCCTCAGCCTCCTGAGTAGCTGGGATTACAGGCACGTGCCACCATGCCCAGCTAATTTCTTGTAGTTTTAGTAGAGACGGGGTTTCACCATGTTGACCAGGATGGTCTTGATCTCTTGACCTCGTGATGCACCCGCCTCGGCCTCCCAAAGTGCTAGGATTACAGGCGTGAGCCACCGCGCCCGGCCTAAGTCTTCATTTTTATTAAGCATTTCACTTTTGTCTAACCTATAACTTATTTATGTATGTATGTATGTATGTATTTATTTATTTGAGACAGAGTCTCCTTCTGCCTCCCAGGCTGGAGTGCAGTGACACGATCTTGGCTCACTGCAACCTCCGCCTCTAGGGTTTAAGCGATTCTCCTGCCTCCCGCTCCTGAGTAGCTGGGACTATAGGCATCTGCCACCATGACCAGCTAATTTTTGTATTTTTAGTAGAGATGGGGTTTCACCACATTGGCCAAGCTGGCCTCAAATTCCTGACCTTGAATGATCCGCCTGCCTCAGCCTTCCAAAGTGCTGGAATTACAGGCGTGAGCCACCACACCTGGCCTAAACCTAAAATATCTTCAAAAGAAAGTGCCCAATATTGACAATATGTGGTCTCTTCTTGAAGGATATCAAGATTCATCTGGCTATCTTAAAATCAAAAAAGTTTAGGAATTCACGTGTCCTGAAGCTCAATGGACTTCAATAAACTTTTCACAAAACAAAAAGCAGAGCGGTTGAATTAAGTGCAGTCTGCTGCAGAAACAGCAATTTTAGTCTTTCTCACTGCTTTCTGATATTCCTTCCTGATAACTGATAACTTCATTCTCTGTTAATTACATTAATTTTTCAGGCTTTGAGCATCAGGTGGCAAAGCTCAATCAGGACATTTCTGAAACAGCAGAACAATATGGAACATCCTCAGAAAGGACCAATAAAGATCTCTCATAGTCTTGGTTGGGGAGGAAACTGGGAGAGAGGCCTAGAATTAGAAGAGCAACATGGAACCCTTCCAGGAGAGGGCCAGCTGGAGCCCTTTTCACAGGAGAGGGATTTAAACAAGCTCCTGGATGGATATGTAGGACAGAAGCCCATGTGTGGAGAATGCGGGAAAAGCTTTAACCAGAGTTCCTATCTCATAAGACACCTAAGAACCCATACTGGCGAGAGGCCCTATAAATGCATAGAGTGTGGGAAAGGCTTCAAACAGAGTTCAGACCTTGTCACCCATCGCAGAACACATACAGGAGAGAAGCCTTACCAATGCAAGGGGTGTGAGAAAAAGTTCAGCGACAGCTCAACACTCATCAAACATCAGAGAACCCACACAGGGGAGAGACCCTACGAGTGCGCAGAGTGTGGGAAGGCTTTTGGGAGGAGGCCACATCTCGTAATGCACCAACGAATCCACACAGGCGAGAAGCCCTACACATGCCTGGAATGTCACAAAAGCTTCAGTCGAAGTTCAAATTTTATCACCCACCAGCGGACCCACACAGGCGTGAAGCCATACAGCTGTAATGACTGTGGGGAGAGTTTTAGCCAGAGCTCAGATTTGGTTAAGCACCAACGAACCCACACGGGAGAACGGCCCTTCCAATGCCCAGAGTGCAGGAAGGGCTTCAGAGATAGTTCTCATTTTGTAGCTCACATGAGTACTCATTCAGGAGAAAGGCCTTTCAGTTGTCCCGACTGCCATAAAAGCTTCAGTCAGAGCTCACATTTGGTCACGCATCAGAGAACACACACAGGTGAGAGACCTTTTAAGTGCGAAAACTGTGGAAAAGGATTTGCTGACAGCTCCGCCCTCATTAAGCATCAACGAATCCACACAGGAGAAAGACCCTACAAATGTGGAGAGTGTGGGAAGAGCTTCAATCAGAGCTCCCACTTCATCACCCATCAGCGAATTCACTTAGGAGACAGGCCCTACCCATGTCCTGAGTGTGGCAAGACCTTCAATCAGCGTTCCCATTTCCTCACACACCAGAGAACGCACACAGGAGAAAAACCTTTCCACTGTAGTAAATGTGACAAGAGCTTCCGTCAGAAAGCACATCTTTTATGCCATCAAAACACCCATTTGATTTAGGAAATAGTCTTCAGTGGTTCTGCTGCTCCCTTGCAAATTTTCACTGCTTCTGTCTTTGAGCACCCCACATAGAAAAAACCTGGTCATCAGCCGCTCACTTTGGGCCCTGATCTATTCTCCCTCTTTCTTTTCTATGTTATAACAGAGAGGATAAACTTAGAATCCAAATAACGGTCTAAATACAACAGGCATTCCTGACTCTTAGTGAAATGTGAGTTTAATAGTTGATGCCAGCCAGGCGTGGTGGCTCATGCCTGTAATCCCAGCACTTTTGGGAGGTCAAGGCAGGTAGATCACTTGAGGTCAGGAGTTCGAGATCAGCCTGATCAACATGTCAAAACCCCATCTCTACTAAAAATACAAAAATTAGCCAGATGTGGTGGCCCATGCCTGTAGTCTCAGCTACTCGGGAGGCTGAAGCAGGAGAATTGCTTGAACCCGGGAGGTGTAGGTTGCAGTGAGCCCAGGACTGCACCATTGCACTCCAGCCTGGGCAACAGGGCAAGACTCCATCTCAACAACAACAAAAATAGTTGATGCCTAGTTACTAAATGAGAAGTGAGAGCAATGTGGCCTGAAGCTCACATGTAAACCACCTAGTACAGTGCCTGGCACAACGTAGATGCTCAGTAAATAAATAAATAGTCACATCATTATTCATGATTAATATTTGAGGTCTTAGATAAAGCCTTTAATGCAGTACCGGCCCTTAAAAGACACTCAATACAAGACTGGAGGCTTTTATCAGTCTTATTACTCAATTAGGAATTTATTAGTGTAGTTCCCACACCCTAAGCTCAGAACTTAAAGAAATTAGATTGGAACTAGAAGGTTTAGGGTTGGAAAACATGAATTGAATAAAATGCTAATGCACTCCCAGTTCAGTGCTGTGCAGGCATTAGTCACCAGATGTCTCACTGCCATGAAAAGGCAGAACTATCGTAGAGGATGTCTGCAGTCTTGTGACTAGGAGGCTGAAAGAATTACAGAGGCTCTTTGAACAGCAGTGTATGAGGTACTTTCACAGGAGGTTTGCTGTCATCTGACACAGAAAATACCCTATGATGAACAATCCAGAGGGACCTGGTAGAGGACTGTAGAATTGTGGAAGCAAATTGCTGAGAATGTCAAATTATATTACAGGGATCCTCCCTGGCATTTAGCTGAAGGAAGCACCTCTTATTTTCTTTTTTCTTTTTTTTTTGTTTTTTGTTTTTTACATGGACTTTCGCTCTGTTGCCAGGCTGGAGTGCAGTGGCGTGATCTCGGCTCACTGCAACTTCTGACTCCCTGGTTCAAGTAAGTCTCCTGCCTCAGCTTCCCGAGTAGCTGTGATTATAGGCACATGCCACCACACCCAGCTAATTTTTTGTATTTTTAGCAGAGACAGGGTTTTGGCTTGTTGGCAGGATGGTCTCAATCTCCTGACCTCATAATCTGCTCACCTCGGCCTCCCAAAGTACTGGGATTACAGCCGTGAGCCACCGCCCCCTGCCAACAATCCTTGTTTTCTAATTTCCTGGGTCATTGGCCATTTAGTTTTAGGTTAATATAATTCTCTGATCCTTTTAGGGCCATCCAGTTTATGTACTAGTACATCCCTACATTCAATTGAAATAAATTGAGGGAAGGCAGTGTGTTGGAAAGAACACTGACTTCACTGAGAAGGTAAAGCATTTGAGTCCTGGCCCTGAGACTTCATTTGGCCAGACTTACCTTCTCTCAGCCTCGAGTCACTACCTTACCTACCTCACAAGGTTGTTGTGAGGATCTAAAACTGCGCACACACAAGCACTTTGTTGGTAAACTATAAATGTAATGTCTCTAAAGTTTAATGTTACACTTCTGTTGCTAATGTCTTTTTTCTAAGAAAATTTTGGCTAATATTTCTTAAGGTATTCCATTTCTCTCATGGTGAGAGAATTTTTTTTTTAACTGTTGAAAAATTAAGGTTAAAAACGCTAAATGACATGACTCATCATGGGCCACGTAGTTGACAGAAGAGCCAGACTTGGCTGCAAGTCATTAGATTTCCAGCCCGCAGTCCTCCTCTGCAACAACAGACCAGCTCTGGGATTGTGACAGTGCCTGTGAGCCACTGCAGGACCGGAGGACCCATATGATCTCCATTAAACCAGTCTGAATTTGGAAATGGTGGAGTGTATCGTCTAAGTTCTAGGGAGCTTTGCAAGATCCTGTGCTGGCGTCCTTGATCCTGGGGGAATGGGAGTGGCTGAGTAAGTGCAGGTGCAAGGGGTTAAGGAGGGACCAGGGTGGCTATCACTGTTTAGAGAGCAAAGTGGTGGGTTGAAGGTTTTTTCTTTTATTCTTTTCCATTATATGGAATGCATCTGAGTATTGTGGCTCATGGAGGATAGCACTCAGCTGATAACCCTATCTCCATTTCTGAAAGCATCATTGGATAATGGACCAGAATTTTTTTTTTAGTTAATCCAGTGCGGTGGTTCTCAAACTGAGAGGCCAGAACGGTAGCATTAACATCATCTAGGAACTTGTTAGAAATGCAGATTCAGCCAGGCCCAGTGGCACTTGCCTGTAATCCCAACACCCTGGGAGGCTAAGGCATTTGGATCACCTGAGGTCAGGAGTTCATTCGAGACCATCCTGGCCAATAGGGTGAAATCCTGTCTCTACTAAAAATACAAAAATTACCCAGGTGTGGTGGCATGTGCCTGTAATCCCAGCTACTCCGGTGGCTGAGGCAGGAGAATATCTTGAACCCAGGAGGTGGAGGCTGCAGTGAGTCGAGGTCACACCTGGTCTTGAACTCCTGACCTCAGGTAATCCACCCACCTCAGCCTCCCAAAGTGCTGGGATTACAGGCGTGAGCCACTGATCCCAGCTACCTATCACTTTGTTATTCATGTTCAGCTATCATAAGATGTGAGTTCTTTTTGGTTGTTTGTTTTGAGACAAAGTCTTGCTCTGTTGCCCAGACTGGAATGCAGTGGCATGATCCTAGTTCACTGTAACCTCCACCTCCCAGGTTCAAGCAATTCTCCTGCCTCAGCCTCCCTAGTAGCTGGGATTACAGGCACATACCACCATACCTGGCTAATTTTGTATGTTTAGTCGAGATGGGGTTTCATCGTGTTGACCAGGTGGGTCCTGAACTCCTGACCTGAGGTGATCCACCTGCTTCAGCTTCTCAAAGTGCTGGGATTAAAGGCAAGAGCCACCATGCCTGGCCACCTATCACGTTGATTTTCATGTTGTTGAGCTATGGTAAAATGTGAACTCTGGAAGCGTAATGTGTGATTTGCTTTGTGGCCCCACCAGTCCTCTCTCTCCTCCCTGTCTTCCTGCCCATCCTCCCCAAGCCATGAGCAGGCAATATTTCAATGCTATTGCTGAGAGTGGAGGTAACCCTTTCCATAGTTTTCTTTTGTTTCTACCTCATGACTAGAGATTTGCTCTTGAATGTGCTCCACACATCCGTTCTTTCTCACTCCAAAATTGAGGTCATCACCAAACCCCATTAATTTTACCTCCCAGATTCCTCTTGAACCTGTCTTGTCACACCTGTCCATCTTCCCTGCCACTTTTCAGTCCCAAACAACCAGACTCTCTTACCTGAATTCCTGTAGCAGACTCCAAACTGATCTTCCTAATACTATTTTTGCTCTGAAAAAACTCAAAGAAACCAGAGTGATCTTTTAAAATCCTAAATCGGGCCGGGCTCACACCTGTAATCTCAGCATTTTGGGAGGCTGAGGCAGGCAGATCACCTGAGGTTGGGAGTTTGAGACCAGCCTGACCAACACAGAGAAACCCTGTCTCTACTAAAAATACAAAATTAGCTGGGTGTGGTGTTGCATACCTGTAATTCCAGCTACTCAGGAAGCTGAAGCAGGAGAATCGCTTAAACCCGGGAGACGGAGGTTGCAGTGAGCCGAGATCGTGCCATTGCACTCCAGCCTGGGCAACAACAGGGAAACTACATCGCAAATAAATAAATAAGTAAAAATAAAATCCCAAATTGAATCACATTACTTCTCAGCAGCTTTCCATTGCTTTTAGAATGAAGACCCAAATCCCTACCCAGCCCTAAGAGACCCTTGTGGTTTTGTCCCCTCAGCCTCCAGCCTCTTCTGATGTCCCCTTCCCTCTCCCTTGCCTCACTCAGCACTCTTGAGTTCTCTGCTCCTTGGTCATGCCAAGGTTGTGCGCTCTTAATAGCCTTGGTACTAACTATTCCCTCGGCCCAGAATGTTCATCAACCAGACCTTTGCATTGCCTCCTATTTGTCAACCAGATTTCATCCTAAACTCATCCTCAGGAAGACTTTCCTAACTATCCCATCTAAATTAGTCACCCTCCATCACATTATCCTTACACCTCCATCAGAGTCCTTACACCTGTCCGATAATTTATTAATTGATTTGTTTTTGGTAAATCCCACAAAAGGTGAGCCATTTTTCTTGTTTCCATTTTTTCCTTGGCACTTAAAACAGTGCCTGGCACACGGTGGGTGCTCAAGAAATGCTTACTGGATGGATTAATGAGTGCATGCCCACAGGCAAGGATCTTGTTCCACTGGAAAAGTAGCAGAGTGAGACAAAACTGGACAAGGGGGCAAAGGTCACACCAAGGAGGTTCTAAGCTGCCAAACTGGGGAGTTTGGATCTTACTCCCTGGGGAAAAGGGTGCGGCTGGTGGTTTTATAGGAGAGGAGAGGCGTGATCAGCACTCGAGAAGGTCAATTTGGCCGCTGGGTGTAGGTTATATTACAGAGAAAAAAACTGAAGGCTTTGAGACAATCCGTGATGTAAAGGGCTTAGCACAGTGCCTGGCATGTAGTGAGTCTCCAGCGAGCCACTGTTATCAACAAGCACCTGGGAAGGCACCACAACAAAAAAAATCTCTAACCTGTCTTTCACCTCGAAATAATTCTTCCTAGACCCTATCATCACATTACTTCTCCGCCCCTTTTGTCAAACTTCCACTCACAGGTAGATATTCTCAGGGCTATCATGCCTAGGCCCTTTTAAATAGGACTACCTACCCTAGCATGCTTCTTCAACTGGACGCTGAAAGGTCTTTAGGGCTGAGCGTGATGGCTCACACCTGTAATCCCAGCACTTTGGGAGGCCAAAGCCAGAGGATTGCTTGAGCCTAGTAGTTCAAGACCAGCCTGGGCAACATAGGCAGACCCTGTCTCTACAAAAAAATAATTTTAACAAATTAGTCAGGCATGGTGATGTGTGCCTGTAGTCCCAAGGACTTGGAAGGCTGAAGTGGGAGGATTGCGGATTGCCTGACCCTCGGGTGACACTCCAGATTGGGTGACAGAGC